CCAGCTCTTGTATGCATAAATAAATAAGTCTCTAAAAAAAATAAAAATCTCCCCTTCCACTTTCATCATCTCTAAGAGTCTCCCAAGGAGCCAGAATCACTTTGGAAGCTCTTCATTGGAGGTTAAGCCTTGAAACAAATGATGAGAGTCTGAGAAGCTATTTTGGGCAACAGGCACACTCACTGATTTTGTGGCAATCAGAGACCCAAACACCAAGAGATCTAGAGGCTTTGGGTTGTTCACATATTCCATGGTGGAGGAGGCAGGTGCAGCCATGAATGCAAGGCCACATCAGGTGGATGGAAGTGTTGTGGAGCCAAAGAGGACTGTGTCGAGAGCAGATTCTCAAGAGTCTGATTCCACTTAACTGTGAAAAAAGAGTTTTGTTGGTGGCATTAAAGAAGACTGAAAAACATCACCTAAGAGATTATTTTGAGCAGTGGCAAGTAGAGAGGCTCTGCTTTTGTAAATTTTCTTTTTTTAAAAAAGATTTATTTATACATACAAGAACTGGGGTACAGGCCAGAGTTTTGGGGGGTGAGAGGATTCACCAGAGACGGAGTGGGGAACAGAACAGGCAGATCGACTGAAATACACTGCTGAGGGGAGCAGTAGGCGTGTCAGGAGAGGTCTGCTGCGCCATGTGGGTCTCTTCCCTGGCCGGGGATCGAACCTGTGTTGTAGTAGCTGTGGTGAGTTTCATAGGTTGCATCTCATCCCCTTGCACCACCAGGGAGGCCCCTGCTTTTGTAAATTTTCATGACCATGATTCTGTAGACAAGATTGTCATTCAGAAACACCACACCGTGAATGGCCACAACTGTGAAGTAAGGAAAGCGCTATCTAAGCAAGAGATGGCCAGTGCCTCATCCATCCAGAGAAGTCAAAGTGGTGCCGGAAATCTTGGTGGTGGTTTTGGTGTGAATGACAACTCTGTAGTGGAGGAAACTTTAGTGGTAGAGATGGCTTTGGAGGCGGTCGTGATGATGGCAGACATGGTGGCAGTGGGGATGGCTGTGATGGATTTGGTAATAATGGAAGCAACTTTGGAGGTCATAAAAGCTATAATAATTTTGGCAATTACAACAATCTTCAAATTTTGGACCCATGAAAGAAGGAAACTTTGGAGGCAGACACTTTGGCCCCTGTGGTGGTGAAGGCCAATACCTTGCAAACTACAAAACCAAGGTGTTATGTAATTCTAGCAGCGCAGTGCCTATGGCACAGGCAGGAGGTTTTAAGTAACTTGGGGAAACAAAGCTTGACATGAGAGGATAGCCAGAGAAGCGAGGGGCAAGCTGCAGGTCACAAAAGATTAGTGAACTCTGCCAAGCACAGTGGTGGCAGGGCCTAGCACAACAAAGAAGACATGTTTTAGACAACACTCATGTATGTGCATGGGCAAAAAACTCAAGGACTTTATTTGTGACTAATTGTATAACAGGTTATTTTAGTTTCTGTTCTATGGAAGTGTAAAGCATTCCAACAAAGTATTTTAACGGATTTTTTTTGCACTTATGCTCTTGAGTGCTAAGTGTAGTAGCTTGATCATGATGCTGAATAACTGTATCTTTTTTCAAGATTTATTTATTTATGCATACAAGAACCGGCTGTAAGCCAGAGGTGTGGAGAGTGAGAGTATTCATCGGAGAGAGTGAGGAGCAGAACAGGCAGATCTGCTGAAATACGCTGCTGAGGGGAGCAGCAGGTGAGACAGGAAAGGTCCATTGCACTGTGTGGGCCAGCTCCCTGGCTGGCCTGGATTGAACTCATGCTGCAGTGGCTGAGGACAGCCTGATAGCACTGTTTTTAACTCCTGCGCCACCAGGGAGGACCTGAATAAATGTATCTTAAAAAAAAAAGAAAAAAAAATACAGGCCTCCCCGGTGGCGGCGCAGTGGTTGAGCGCTGGGTTGCAAAGCTGCCTGCAGCCTCTGCAACGCCGATTCGATCCCTGGCCACCAGGCGAGGGCCCCACATGGCGAGCAGACCTCTCCTGCCTCCCGCTGCTCCCCTCAGCAGTGTACTTTGTCAGTCTGCCTGCTCTGCCCTGCTCTGCTCTCCACCTTGGCTCTGGTGAATTCTCTCACCCTCCTGCGCTTCTGACTGTACCCAGTGCTTGTATAAATAAATAAATAAATCTTTAAGAAAAAGAAAAAAATGCAATATCTCAGGCCCAACTTCAGTCCTTCTAAGTCTGAATTTGCAATTTAATAAGATCCCCATGTTTTTTTTCTGTGCATATTAAAGTTTGAGTAGCACTTGCACAGATCATTCCTTACTGCTTTTATTTATAACATCAAATAGCACTATCTTTCAATAATTCATGCCACTTAATAGGAGTTTCCCTCCAGCAAATTGCATACTACAAAAGCACCCTAAATGTGACACTTGAGTAACAACAAATCATCATAATAAAACCAATAACACAATCTAATATGTGTTTCATACATTTTGGTATTTCAACATCCTTTAATACCCACACAGTCTCATCTGATTCTAGAGTTTGGGATAATTGTCTTCAATCAGAGAGTGTTTAAGTGAGCAAAAAAATATGAAAGTGAGCAAAAAAATGATGATATGCATGACCTAGGGAATATTTGGTGGAGAGAAACTGAGTTATGAGAGGGATTTTAAGTTTGCCTTAATGAGAATTTGTTCAATTGCTAGTAATAGAGATCCAAAACAACAGTGACTTCAATAAGACAGGGAATGATAACTCCTTTTGTAACAGGGTGGTCCCAGGAAAGGGGGAGGTTCCCTGCCCCACCCAAGGGAGGGTGGAGCTGAGCAGGAAGAGGAGAAGCTGCAGAAGAGAAGGAGGAAGGAAGCAGGATGGAGGCAGGAGACCTGGAGAAGGCACATGGAGCCTAGAGACACGTGAAGAAACTGCGCTTGTCTTTTGGTCGTGGACTGGGTGACACAGATGTGGGTGAGACCTGTGGGGAGGTGACAATGGCAGCTTTTATCTTGATGTTGATTTTGCTCTTTTCCTTCCGGGCTTGTCCTGTTGTTTGTGACCCTTTGCTGTGGGTCCCCACTGGAAGATGCTTTAGACTTGTGGCAGGCTTTGGGGCCTTGCTCTGGGCCAATCCCATTTGGATGGACTTTTACCCACGAGGGGACGGGTAACTCTGGATGCTTCATTTAGAAACTAGACTCTTTGCCTTACCTGTATTGTTTCCTAGTTTTATTAAAGTTCCTTCCCATTAAAGTCTCCTATGTTTTGTGTTGATGCGGCGGATGGCAGAACCCATTTAGAATAGGCAGGTTTGCGGGGGTTTGGGCTGCCCCTCTCCCTGTCCTATAACACTTTCACTTGATAAACTATCTTCAGGCAGACCAAGCTGGTATGGTGACTCTCAAGTTCTCAAAAACTGGAATCCTTCTGACTTCTGCTCTGCTATTCTTAGCACATGACTTTAATTCTTTTTTTAAAAAGATTTATTTATTTATGCACACAAGAGTTGGGGCACAGGCCAGAGATGCAGGGGGGTGAGAGGATTCACCAGAGACAGAGTGGGGAACAGAACAGGCAGATTTGTTAGGGGAAAAAGGATGGGCTGCTCTATAACAGATTGAAGTACACTGCTGAGGGGAGCAGCGGGCGCGTCAGGAGAGGTCTGCTGTGCCATGTGGGCTGCTCCCTGGCTGGCCGGGAATCGAACTTGTGTGCAGAGGCTGCGGATTGCTTCATAGTGCGATGCTTAACCCCTTGCACCACCAGGGAGGCCCCACTCCTGCTCTTCTTTCTGCTTAGAATGCTCTGGCTTTGTCTATATCCTGATTACGACCTCCCACCCAACTCTTGCTCAGTTTATCAGTGCTCAGTCTGTATGTCCTTATAACTTTGTTATATGTTACACATTTTCATAAATCTGGATTTGACCTGTATAGCCCTGGTTCCAGATCTATCCTAGCCTTCTATCCCACCTCCAAGTATAAGGTCCCTAAAGGTAAACACTTTGTCTATCCTATTCACTGAATTTCTAGCACCTTGCAAAATATCTGGAAAATAGTGGCGCCAAAATTATTTCTTGAACCAATAAAAACAGCTGACAAAGAAGTTCATGCTATTTAGCTATTTAGCTCTAACCTAACTTAAGCAAGAAAGGGAGTTTCATCATAACAATACAGGGACATGTTGCAGAAACAAGAGCTAGGTTACAGCCTGACCTCAGGAATGGAGTAGAACCAGAAACTCAAAAGCCACTAGGAATCTTCTCATCTTTCATTCTCTCTCATCAGGTCAGCTTCCATTACTTGTTACTTCTACACAGTGAGGAAATGGCTACAAACAACACCAAAGTGTTAATATTTTATTAAAACAATCAGTTGGAGAGAAGATAGCTCTGTCTTCCTCATCTCTATCTCTTCAAAATTTCCCAGTAGAAAATTATTGCCCTTCCCTGGGCCAATCAAGTGGTCACAGGAGCTGGAATCATGTTGCTGAAACACGGCATCTCTCATTGCAAACTTGTGCTTTGGGTGCAGGGAGTTGATCTCTGGAAAAGAGGTTTTGGGCCTGCAGAGTTTAATCCCTGGCCAGGTAGCTAACCCACATGGCACAGCAGACCTCTGTCTTGCCTGCTGCTCCCCTCAGCAGTGTATTTCAATCAGTCTGCCTGTTCTGCTCCCCATTCTGTCTCTGGAATCTTCTCATGTACCCCCCAATCTCTGGCCTACACCCCAGCTCTTATATCCATAAATAAATGAAATAAATTGTTAAAATATTTTTTTTTAAAAGAAAGTTTACCACTGCAGGAAAATCTTAATAGGGTGGCAATAGCACTGGTAGTATTGCCAATCCTGTAACATATCTGTATGTGTCTGCATTTGTAGTTGTTGCACATCACAGGAATCTAATGAAGCAGGAATCAACCTCCTCTAGTGGAGGTTGGTCCAAATAACTGCCATCACTTCCACACTGTTAAACATGTGTGTGTCTGTGTGTGGGGGTGTGTGTGTGTGTGTGTGGGTGGGTGTGGGTGTGGGTGTCTTTAAATGTGGAATGGCTCATGAATTCTTGTGTCCTCCTGCACAGAGGCCATGTTAGTCTTCTCTGAATTATTTCAATTTTAGTAGATGTGCTGGCCAGTGAGCCATGTATTCTACTAAAAAGTTCTATTTTGCTTTAAAATTACACCATGTTATGGCTTAATGTGTAACTGTGCTGTTGGTTGACTGTGACACCTATGAATACTGAGGGTTGTGGGAAGAAAAGGCACTTTGCTGTGCAACGTGGCCTGCTGCAAAGTGTAGGTGACTCAGAGCACAAGCACTTTGAATAAATAACACCTATTGTTAGTAAAGCTGTTGTCACCCTTCCTCACCTCCAGCCACAAAGGATTTGGGGACCCTGGAGACCAGACCTGGTATGAGTCACAGCGTGCGCTGTAGAGAACCTGGCAGCAGCCAGGAGCCACTTCCCTTGGGGGAGGTGGCTCTGAGTGACGCAAGCCTGAGTCTCAAGAAACGCTGGTCCTGACACCACTGCCACCTCCCTGGGTGCAACAAGTCTCCAGAGAGAAATTCGATCTCTAGAGTCCCAGAAGCCCCCTCTGAGGCCCTGTTAGGTGCTGCTGGCAGGATTCCTTCTGTGATCACCAATGACCCGGACTTTGCCCCTTACCCCTCACCCACAAGGTGCATTCCCCCGCACCCTCCCACCAGTTGGGCCCTAGAGGCCCAGTCTGGCTGGACTTAGCAGGCTGAGCAAGCAGGCTGAGCAAGCGTGGCCTGGAGGGGTTGACTTCAGCAGGTCAGTTGGGGGAGGAGTAGTAGAGAGAAGAGGGTGAGGGGAAAGAAGCAAGAGAAAGGCAGGCCTGGGTGGGAGGGACCAAGTCCTTAGGAGTTCGAATAGGGCTGGCAGTGTTATAGAGCAACCCCGATATTAAACGGGTTCCTGGCTGTGGGTCCTCACCCGCGCGCTTTAAAGGGACTTATGAATATTCTACTACAGACACACGCAAAAGGGTTAATAAAAGGTTTATTTACAAGAGAAAAAGAAATAAGGAAAATGTACAACTCAGGGAGAAAATAGGGAAATAAAGTCTTTAATGCGTCCTACCCGATCCGACAACCTGGAAACCCAAAGTCACTCTCAGAGCTGGCCGGACGCTGCGAGCTGGCTGAGAGCCCAAAAATGGAGAGCCCCCAAAGCCCACGTGTCTGCCTTTTGTATCCACCTGGCTGCTTAACCCCACCCTCAGGTCCCAGCCACCTTCCCTTTGGTGGTGATGGGATTTGGAGTTCCCAGTGTCTTTGGCTTTGACCTGGGGTGGGGGTGGAGTCCACAAAGCCTATATGGAATTTGCTTTGGGACATCCTTTTCCCCCTAACAGCAGGACCGTGTAGGGTAGAGGACTTGGTATTCAGGGCCCCAGCCCAACATCTTCAACCTCAGGGCTCACAGCCGGTTCCCTTTCAGGCGTGGGACCCTCCCACAGAACTGTTTATAGATCCTTCCAAGGACGGGGTAACCCATGCTCTGTGTCCTTGGTTACACCATTTTTTTCCTGAATTGCCTTTCCAGGCTCATCCAGCTGGTGGAGTCCTTGAAAATATCACCATCTCCAAGAAGCATTTCCCAGTTCAGACATAATTGCTGTGGTCTCTTTGCTAAAATCTTAAGTGCCCAACGTAGACTGAAATGACTACTGTCAATTTAGTATCATGTGAGCAAACTGCAGTGTGTATCAGAAGCACCCAGAAGGCTTGTTAAAAGGTGGGTTATTAAGCTCCAGCCCCAGAATTCCTGATTCTAATTCTGGTTTGGGCCAGGTCAATTTTCTTTTTTTTTTTTTTTTTTTTTTTTTTTTTTTTTTTTTAAGATTTATTTATTTATACAAGCACTGGGTACAGTCAGAAGCGCGGGAGGGTGAGAGAATTCACCAGAGCCAGAGCGGGGAGCAGAGCAGGCAGAAGGACCGAAGTACACTGCTGAGGGGAGCAGCGGGCGGCAGGAGAGGTCTGCGCGCCATGTGGGACCCTCCTCCGGTGGCCGGGGAGCAGCCAGGGATTGAACCGGCGCCACAGAGGCTGCGGGCAGCTTCGCAACCCAGCGCTCAACTGCTGCGCCACCAGGGAGGCCCCAGGTCAATTTTCATTTCCAGTAAGTTCCCAGGTATTGATGCTGCGAGTTCTAGTTAGAGTCACACTTATTCATCAACACTTATTTATCATGCTTTTTTGCTAATACATTCACTGAATGTCTACTGTGTGCTTGCTATGTGCCAGACATGGACCAAAATCAAGATAAAAGCTGCCATTGTTATCCCCCCCAGCGGTCTCTCACCCACATCTGTTTCAACCAGCTCAGGACCAAAAGGCAGTGGCAGTTTCTTCACATGTCTCTTTGTTCCATGTGCCTCTTCCAGGTCTCCTGGCTCTCCATCCTGCTTCCTTCCTCAGTCCCTTCTCCAGCTTCTTCTTCTCCCTACTCAGCTCCAATGTCTTGGGTGGATCAGGAAACCCAGAACTTCCCCCTTTCCTGGGACCCACCCTGTCACAATAGTACTGTCTTGTTACCTAATTTTTAAGCTGTCCAGTTAACCACTAGGCTGTGCACTCCTTGAAAGGTAGAATCTCGTTTCATTAATATTTGCGCCTTCAGCACACTGCACAGAGTAGGGCCCTGATAGAGAGTATAAGATGGAGGGTTCATTGGACAAATGAATAAATTAATGAATGCAATATCAGATGAACACATGCATACATGGTGGATGGTAACAGTCTGACAGGAACACTGAGAACCGGGGTAGAAACTGATAGAAACTTAGCTGACTCCTTTACTGTATTTCCAAACTCTTGTCTATCATTTCTGCTGACTTCCAGTGGCTGCTCCCCAAAGCTCTCTTGACTACTTTTGCCAAGTACCACGTCATTCATGAATGAAATATAATTGCTGTCACCTCTTGCACTCCCGCACTTACTCAGACAGACACAACTGTCTTATGCTTGCTACCTGCGTTCAAGTTTCTCAGGGAAAGCCAGGTCCCCCATGTCAGTCTTGACAGGGGAAAGGATGGAGAAAGGAAGGAAGACCAGAAATTATTTCTCCTACTCCAGTTAAAGAAGGGATAGAGGGCCTCCTTGGTGGCCGAAGGGTTAAGTCTCAGCGCTGCTATCACTGTGTTGGCCCAGCGGGTCTCTTCTGTATTGCTTGCTGCTCCCATTAGCAGTGTATTTAAGTAAATCTGCCTGCTCTGCTCCCCACTCTGTCTCTGGTGAATCCTCTCACCCGCCCCCTCCCCCACCCACACACACCTCTGGCCTACACCCCAGTTCTTCTACGCAAAAATAAATAAATAACGTCTTTGAAAAAAAATTAAAAAAAAAAAACAAAGAAGGCACAGAGCTCAGAAGGTGGTGAAGCTTCTTGCTCTGATAATTCATGACATGACTTTAAAAAGACATTTTAAATTACACATTCCTATAAATATGTGTTTGGCTCCTACAGCGTAGTTTATTTAAAGACTCAGTTTAAGTGAAATTTAAAAAAGAAAAGAAAAACTATCTCCCAGAGTCCCTCTCGGGTATTTAAAAATAGAAGGTGAAAAGAAAAATAGAAAGCAAAATTGGTAAAGACCAATTCCTTCCCTTTGAAGACTCTCCACCCGGGATGAAATCTCACCTGACCTGACTTGTTTCAGACTCCCATACCCTTGTTACAGTCTCATCAAAGCTCATAGCCATCCAGGCCCATTTCTCCTCTGCCAAAGGAACTTGAATTCAGAAGGGAATTTCCAAAGGATTTGGAGGTGGGAGAAGAATCCCTCTCCAATCCAAAAGAAGGTAGAATGAAGAATCAGGGATGTGAAATTTCCCAAGGATTGAAATAAAATTATTCTCAATTGTGAAGGACTTGAATAGACAACTCTCTAAAGAGGGTAAGAGATTAACAAATGTGGGGATAAATAAATATCTAAGCCCAATACGAATTAAAGAAATACAAAGAAAGCAAGATTCATATGTATGTGTGTGCCCATGCATACATATATTTTAAACAATATTTTATACTCTATGTGAGGATTTCCTGAAGTGGTTTCTAGTGAAACTGTAATTGGTAGAACATTTCTGAAATTATTGGGCAGTAGGTCTCAAGTGTCTAGATAATGTTCATACTATCGTTCCCTCCCCCCAGAAAGAGAAGCAGATACTACTAGACATGGATTTATTCCCATTTCTGATCATCTATCCTAAAGGAATCTCTTGAAATGCAAAAAACAGGGCCTTCCTGGTGGTGCAAGGGGTTAAGACACAACCTGAAGCTGTCTGCAGCCTCTGCAGCACGAGTTTGAACCTCTAGTTGGCCAGGGAGCAACCCACATGGCCCCAGCAGACCTCTTCTGACTCGCCCGCTGCTCCCCTCAGCAGTGTACTCCAGTCAGTCTGCCTGTTCTGATCCCCAGTCTGTTTCTGGTGAATCCTCTCACCCCCCACACCTCTGGCCTGTACCCCAGCTCTTGCATGCATGCATAAATAAATCTAAATATATATATATAACAAACAAACAAACAACAGCAAAAAGAACACTGATCACAAAGATCTTTATCCCTTTGTTATGTATAATAGCGCAGGACCGCAACAGCCAAAAGTCCAGCAGCTAGAGAATGGTGGTGAACTGGACATTTATAGAATACTGTCATTACCCAATTATGTGTTCTGCAAGGTTCTTCCTTAGGGATCGTGCTAGCAGCATTGTTGTCTCGGGTGCAGTCCTTCAGAAGAGCATCCTGATTTGCTATTTCCCAGCATCTCAGGGTCAGAAACTTATTTTTCTTAGTGCGCCAGATACAGCACAGACCTTTGTGACAGATTTACTGTCTCTAATGCTACCAAGGCTTATGGAGTCATCAGAGGCCAATTTATTAGTTCATGGCAATGCCCTCCCAAATGGCAGAATATGTGTATCCATCACCCAAGATCTGTCCCCCAGCTGGTACTGAGGTAGATGGAAAGAAAAGACAAAGGTGGCTTAGTGAGCTGCCTGGTTGAGTAAAAGGAAATAGGTAGTCTTAAAGAGGATATTTTCAAACCATGGTAAGGCTTGATGAAATCCCTGACCCTAGAAGAGACAATTTCTCTAGTTGCTATTTCTCCT